CTCTGTCCTGTTAAGTGGCTCTCCTGCTCCTGGTGGGGCCTCTTGCCTCAGGGCTTCCTTTGTGGTTCAGCCCAGTTCAGTAAGGTGGAGAGCCTGTTTTTGGGGTGATTTTAGTGGCAAAGGGCATTTTATTTTCTTCTCTAGCCATTATAATAACAGGCTCTACTTGTCTTGCCTAATAGCCTCAGAATATGGCATGATGTTCTTCATGCAGTCTTGTAGACATAATTAGGACTTTTCTTGTGCTGAATGTCAATTGAAATAGCATATCTTATTAGATCCAGTTTATGAGTGGATAAGGCCTCTTCTGTCTTGCTCCTTGAAGAGGGGTTGGGGCAGCTTAACAAGTAGATCTTGCCTCATCGACTGAAGCAAAGCTGTTGATTGAGGCCATCAGGCTAAGCCACTGCCTTCTCTAGCTGTCTCTGCCTTGTCATGACATATCTACAGAAGTCACTTCGCAGTATTCAGTCAGTATTTGAAGACGCATGGAATAATCTTGCTTCCCAAGGAATTTTTTTGAATGGAAACTTTCCCTCTTAAATATATACTACTGAAATTTAACCTTGCTGTCCCACACAAAAGCTTTGGCATGACCTGGATGTCTTCATGGGACATGTTCTAACTATAATCATCATTTTCCCAGGTGGATGTACATGACAGGTCTTTGTAGCTGTGTGAGAAGGGGGAGGGGAGGAGGGCATACTGCCCCTGGTTTTAGGATTCTCTTTTCTGTCATAGAAAACTCACAGAAGTTGGTGGGCAGCCCTGGTATGGGGTTCTGGGCTTGAGCCCTTCCGATATTTGCTTCCTGCCTGCAAAAGGCACTCATTTGATCTCTTCCCTTCCCTGTAGGCAGCCCTGATTTGTTTCAAACTAACCTGCAGCCATGTGTCTAAATGTACCTCCAAATGGCTTCTAAGGGAAAGAGAAGGACACTGCCCTTAGAGTTACAAGGTTCTTAGGATGACATAGTGAAATCACTGGAGAAATGTAACACATCATGGAAGTAGGGTCCAGAGAATATTTTTATGTAACCTTTAAATGAGTGGCTTGCAACTTTTTCTTTTTTCCCCCAAATCACCTAGGAGACGATAGATGTTTCTTACTCTCTTCCCGAGTCCTGACTCACAGCAGCCCTGTGTGAGGTAGAAGAAGGAAACTGCTGCAGCCTGGAAGGGCTTTGAATGCCCTCCTCCTTTTTGCAGAATCACTGTTCTATAAATACGATGTCAGGGGGTTTACTGCAGAGAAATGGTCAGAATCACAGAGGGTCATTTATGACTCAGGAAAGGTTTTGCTTAAGCGCCCGTTCGGGGCTCAGCCCTATGCTAAGCACAGAGGGCATATCAAGACAGCTGGGAGGAGGCTGTGGCTCAGGAGGAGAGAGATGCCTCGACGTAGGTATGAGCGCCACGCACCATAGGTGTGAAACAGGAGGTGCTAAGTACCACACCCGGGGTGCAAAGAAAGCATTCCTGGAGTCCAGAGGGAGGACTGTTACTTCTCACGGAGAGGATCGTGGACGGATTTGTGAGAGAGTGTGGCTCCTGGCCTGCCTGGGTAGGGTCTAGACATCTTAACCAGGGCCACGGAAAGAGTGTGAAGCGGGCAGCGGGGCAGGGCAGGCAGAGAGGCTGGGTTCCAGGGGCGGCTTCGTGAGGTAGGCCTGCGCGTGGCGTGGGGAGGGCAGGAGTACGGAGGCAAGGGGCACGGCGTGCCCTGGGAAGCTGCCCGGAGATGGGCCGGGAGGTGCGGAGCCTCCGCCCCACACGGGAGGAAGGGCCTGGAGGACCCTGGACAGTTGAACTGGCCCCTCATACGCCACCTTCCCATCTCACTCTCCCTGTGTCTCCCCCTGTAGTTCGTCCTCTCAGACTCGTGACTTCTTGTTTTATTTAGTGTCTCCGATTTCTGGCTTAAAAAAAAGATTTCTTGAATGTCATGTTGAATTGAAAACAAGGAAAAAAAGCTTTCAAACTTTTTTTATTGTGGTGAAATGTATATAGCATGAAAGTTACCATTTCAAGCATTCTGAAGTATACGGTCACACACCAGCTTAAATACACTTACATTGTTGTATAATCATTATCACCATCTAGTTACAGAGTTTTCATCATCCCAGACAGAAACTGTACCTATTGAGCAATAACTCGTTCACCCCCACCCCATAACCTCTATTCCACTTTCTGTCTCGATGAATTGGCCAATTCTAGGTACCTCATACAATATTTGTCCTTTTGTGTCTGACTTATTTCACTTGGGATAATGTTCTCAGGGTTCATCCATGTCATGGTGTGTATTTGAACTTCCTTCTTTTTAAAGGTTGAGTAATATTCCGTTGTTTGTATAGGCCATATCTATGTATCCCTTCATCTGTTGATAGATGTTTAGGTTCAGATCTTGGCTGTTTACAGCATTGTGCTTCATGACTTTTTGTCATCATAGGCATCCCTACTGCCTCCGTCTAGATCTGAGCCACCTGCTGCATGCCTGGGTTAAAACGCTTACCTCTTGAAATCCAGAGGAACTGGGTTCTAGTCCTTTTCTTGTGTGGAGCAAGGACAGGACACTTAACACCTATGTGCAATTTTCTGATCTTCGAACTGAAGGCACTCGCAACTGCATGCAGTGAGCACTGTTCTGAGGACACATTTCGTCATGTGTGTGACTGCTCAGCACTGTGCCTGGCACAAAAAGAGCTTAACCAGCAGTGGCTTCCAAAGAAATCAGAGCTGAACTGATTTCCCTGACCATCTTCCTTCCCCTTGCCTATACGATTTAACCCTGCCATTTGTTCCAGGTTAATTTACCAAAAACGTGAGCACAGGGTGGTGAGGCACTTCTCGTGGTCCTGTTTGTTTCCCCTGCAGCATGACGAAGGGCTCATTTTCCGAGACAGCACTTGTCCTTTGAGGCCAGCTCCGCTGTGCCTTCTCTGTGTAGCTCCCCTGAGAGCCTGTGCACCTTTTCATGGTTTCTTGTGTGCTTATCACCTCTTTCTTGTACACTACTTTGTGGACATATTTGTATTCTGTGTTTTACTTCCAAGCCTCATGAATGGGGTCTGCAAGCTTTTCTCAATTTGTACCTTTATCTGGATGTGAATTCATGTGACCCAATGTCAGTTGACCCTCCCTCAGTCTTCCTATTAAAGTCTCACCAGGGCTGTCATACGATGGGGCACTCTCTCAGCCCCTGCACTGTGAGCAGTATCAGGCAGGGAAGGCACCTTGTACAGAAACCATCTCTGCCAGTCCCAGTATCGGGTCCTCATAAAGGTCAGCTAGCTGAACTTGACTTTTTTTAAGGCAAATAAATTTAACACTGGCAAGGTAGTTATTTCTTGGGGTTTGACCTTACAATGGCAAGTATTGGTTGTTATTGTAAAAACAAAAAAATCATTAAAAAACCCCAAACTTTAAAAAGTCAGTTTAAAAAGCAATAAAGTATGAGGTTTATATGAATGTAGTAGACCCACAGGACAAAAAAAATTTTTTTTACTGTCCTAATATTTTTCAAATGTGTTCTGTGACTTAGGAGAATTTCTTCACTAGTAGCACATGTAATTTTTTTTAAATGCTTCAGATTAAACAACTTAAATAGGAGAGAAAAATGTGAAGATATGCCATAGAAAACTGTTGGATGCTTCAAAAAATGACTTTAGTGGTGCCTAAGACCCTGTTTGAAGAAGAATGTTTAAAGAATTTGTATAAATATTAATGAAATGTGAATTTAAAATAGTATTTTTAAAGTAACTTATTTTGTCATGTGACTTAAATTTATATGTATTTTAATGGATACAGAAACTGCAATAAGATATTTGACTGTTTCATCTACAGCCCTAAACTTTTATTTTTTTTCAAATGGAACATATTAAGTTTGGGATCACTTTATTTTGGGGGAGGGGGGATATATGATAGTTGTGACCTGTGCCCAATATGAATGAGTGAGGTGTAGGCCTAATATTACTAGTTAAAAATTATTATTGCCTTTTACTTGCTTTTAAAAGCTTTGTGTCTCACTCTTCCTCTGGTAATCTTTTTTTTTTTTTTTTTAGTTGGAGTCTCACTCCATCGCCCAGGCTGGCATGTAGTAGCACACTCATAACTACCCCAGCGTTGACCTGCTGGGTACCGGCGATCCTTCTGCCTCAGCCTTCCAAGTAGCTGGAGCTACAGGCGTGTGCTACCATGCCTGGCTAATTTTTGATTTATTGCAGAGATGAGATCTCGCCAAGTTACCTGGGCTGATCTCGAACCCACAGCCTCAGGCAATCCACTCACCTCAGCCTCCCAAAGTGCTGGGATTACAGGCTGAGCCACCGAGCCTGGCCCCTCTAGTAATATTTGAGGGAGTAGGCAGGGAGTGGTTTAAGTTTAGAAGTATTCAGCTTAACTTGAGTATTTCAGCAAATCATGTACATAAAAACAGGACACCTCTTCTTTCTCCTTTTCAGTCTTTTTGGAAATTGCATTGGTAACCCATAAAATTGCTTTAATGAAAAGTGGGTTTAAAGTTTATTATACTTAGTTGGTAAGAAAAGCCCCAAAGCAGTGGATGGAATAATTAATTCCCTGTAGAACCACTTGCTTATTCGTTCCTGGGATCCCAAAATTACCCAAATGGTCTTTCTCCTTCTCAACCTCAGTTCGAGGAGACGGCCCCTGGCAGCCACCATGGTCAGGGATCCTATAGGATGGACAGACACCTCTGCTTTCCTCTCTAACTGGGAGATTCTGGCATCTCTTTGGAGAGTCTATACTTCCTTCTCCCTAGGGACAGCCTGACCGCTCTTTTGGTTCAAGAGGCGATGGCTAAGCAAATCTAGCTTTAGGTAACTTGCCAAGCCAGGGTTAAGGAGCACGAATCCAACGGTTTTGGAGTGGTGCAATGAAAGAACAGCACAAGGTCCGGCTGCTGCTCTCTTGTTCCTTCCCAAGGCCTGGCTCTGCCCAGTTAGTGCAGGACAAAGGGGGAGCTTTCAGCCTTCTGTCAACAGCCTATTGTACAAGGGAGGAGGTGGAGCAAGAATGGCAGCATCTCGCCAGCTTGGCTCTCTGCATCAAGGAAAGATGTCAGGATTTCTTAGTTTGCTGCTGCCCAGGCAGGAATGATTTTTGTGTGGGTTTGTTTGAGGGCTGCATTCCTAGTGAAGTATTCCATCAGATTGCTATTATTCGTCTTGATGAAGGCTTGAGGAACTTCAGAAGGAGAGAAACAAACAGATCACCCGCTTTTGATTTATAGATGACATGAAGAGAATAAACTGCTAATGTAAATAAAAGTTTGCAGATTTGCAAGATCTCAGGGTGTGTGTGTGTGTGTGTGTGTGTGTGTGTGTATGTGTGTATGGGTTGGCATGCCCTTAGAAAATGATGCCCTTGGAGTCACCTCTGGCCATGAGCCACTTCTTTCATGGTGCAAACAAAGTGCTAAGAGGTAAACCTTTGTGTACAGTGGGCCTTGAACCTACATGTTCAGAGGCCGAGGTGAGAGTTTAGGTGACTTTTGCATGCAGAGATCCCACAACACTGGAAGGATCTTTAGAAACCTAGTCTCAGACTTCCAAAAATGGGTCTGGCTGAAGGGGACTTAGGAACCCCATGTGTGGATAATTATGTGTATTCTCAATGACAGGATTAATGGCTTAGAATAGTTAAGAATCATTCATGTAGATTGGATTGAGTGTCAGGTGTCCTGTTCTTGACAAACATCTTGGGGAAAGCCGTATCAGTCTCTGGCCTGGGCTTCCTCCTCATCATTTTGCTTTGTGATGTTCAGGCAAGACACAGGATAGAACGCCTTTCTAAAACACCAAAGAAATGCTAATTGCGCCTGTAGCTATTCTCTGTACCAAGTTTGGGTAGACAAGTACTAGGATCGATCTGTTTTCTGATAGCCATGCGCTTTAGTTTCTACTACCCTGCCGTGCTACGTCTGTTTCTAACCAGGTCTATTTAAAGGCATCCTCTGCGCTGGTTCTTTATACTAGGATTGTGCCAGATTTCCTTGGTCATTATTATGGTCCCTGTCACTTTGTGGCTTTAGGCTCCAGCTTTATAGGGAATTCAAAAAACCCAGCTGAGCAAACCCACTTTTTCTAAGTGTGGGCAGGGTACATAGGAGTAGCTGTAGAGGAAGGAGAAACTAGTTTTCAGGAGCTCATGTGTTCCCTACTGAGAAATACTGGCTGCTTAAACCTTTAAGCCCATTGAATCATATTCTGAGCAAACAGCAGTATGATTTCTGTGCCCAGGCTATATACTTGCATATATGATGATGTGAAAATTTGATTTTGAAAGAATTTTTAAAATTCCAACTGTAATAAGAATAAAATATTTCTGTGTTTCAACTATTTGTTAGCAAGTGCCTGAGTCTTAATCCTCCTTAGAGATCCATTAGGATTGAATCTTAAAGCATGATGTTCAATTTTACCCCACGTTGTTAAAATAAAATTTAGAAAACGTGATGTCTATGTTCATATACAGCATTGAAATTCCATTTATTGTGTCTAATTTTCTTTGAATGTAGGTCTGCCTCTATTTTTAAATACTCCGATTACCTTTTTCTTATAGCAGTTAAATAGAAGGTAAAAGACTTATGATGCTATCAGTTTCATATTTAAGAGCTGTTCTTTACATGGATCTAAGTGAGGTATTGTCTTAGTTCTTTATGCATAGACTATAGTTTTCCTATGCACAGCACTGATCAATTTGCTCAGTGAAGTTGGTTTACAGCTTATTACCTGGCTACCAGCTAAAAGGTATGAATTAAACTGCTATAGCTTGTCATTATCACCGACTAAATATATGAATTTGGCTGTATTTAAACCCTTAGCAATACAGATTAGTGTCTAATAAAATGTTCTTGCATGCGTACTACTAAATCTATAATTTTCTGATATTTAAAAAAAAGTTTTCTTTCCTAGACTTACTAAATTTTCTTAGTGCAATGTTGTCTATAGCTAGGCTACTGCTGATACAAATCACCTATGGTTAACTGTGTTTGTTTACAGAGGAATTATTTAATATTCTCACTCGGGGACATGATTCTGTTGAACAGGCCCTGTAAATTCATCCAGTCTAGGTTTTATGGAAATTGCTTCAGAGACTTTAGGGAGAGAAGAAGAAGGGCATGGGAGAGTGGGTAAAGGGAGAATAATTCCTATTCCAATTCAGAGTGCTGCAGGGTAGTGAAGTCAGCTAGATGGTGGAAGGATTTAGGGCAAGGCACTTTTACAGGGCTACTTTGCAGTTGCCATACTGTCTGTGAAACCTGACTGCTTAGTGCTGGGAGGACGTGGGTTTGACATGTCTCTTATCCTGCAGGGTGTAAGCATCCTCTCCTCAGAAAGCCCTTCCCCAAAGCCTTGCAGTTATCACTTGCTCAATTTTGTGCCCTCCCCCATGAGATAGCTAGCCACTGAAAGCCTTGTCGAGGTCATCGGCCCTGTCCTCCCAGCCCTTAGCCAGTGCGTGGCACACACTAGGTGCTCAAATATGCACGGTGACAAGAGCAGCTTGATTCCTTTGGTTTCATGTAGAATAAATCTGCTGTGGGCGTACTCTCGCCAATATGTTTCTTCCTTGGTATATCTTATATTGGTTAGACATTACCATCCGGTATCCGATCCTTCTTTTCGGTGGTTTAAAAAAAAAAAGCACATTGTCTCTTCATATGGGGAAGCTGAGCAGAAAGAAAACAGTGTCTGTTTTCAGAACTGGCCCTGGCAGCGACACTCACCGATGGCTGTTCTGCCCATGGGTGGAGCAGTGGGGTGACTCTGCTCCCAGCTCCCCATTGGCCCATCCTTCAACCTCTGCTCTCCTGAGAAGTCAAGTATGGATTTTGTCTGCTAGTTACCTTTAGCCCAGTGGGCAGCAGCATCGGACCCGGCATGTGACTAATGCCCTGAGAGACCTTGGCAGGCAGGGTAAGCATTGCTGAGCCCTTCTAACCCCGCCCCACCCCTACCCTCACCACCCTCTTCTGTGTCTGCAGTGAGGTGTCACCTAGCAGTCTGCTGTTGGTGGCACAGATGGTGAGTGACTTGGTAAGCACTGGTGCTTTCTCTACAGAATCATGGGCTGAAGAAATGTGCTTATCTCTAGTTTCTTTGCTGTCACGTTACCATCTTGAAATTGTGTGTGTGTGTGCGCACATGCATGTGCATACACTTACACAGAGCTGTTGTAGTAGAGATTGAATGAGCAGAACAGATACATTATGTTGGTTCCAGTAGTATCGATGGCCAGTAAGACAGTCTGATGTTGTGCTCCTCTGGGCAAAACTATGTAATAGGATAGCTTTAAGTTTCAACAGGGCATATTTGAGCAAAGATAACTATTTTCAGTTTTGTGACCTAGCTAATTAACAGAATATATAGCAAGTAGCTTACGAATACCATCCAAACTTACATTTACATGTTACTTGTTGCATTGCCAGGGAGTTTTGGAGAAAAGTCTTTCGGATCATTTTATAATTATTTCCTTTCCTTTGCTGCCAAACTTTAGAGCAGTTATTCATCAATAATTTTCTAATTATAATTATCTTTATTTACTATCTGTACCTTACTTTTTTAAATACTGATCTTTGTGTTAATTGTCATAGTATTCTATTTGAGGCTTTGATATATATATATATATATATATATATATATATATATATATTGAGAGAGAGAGAGAGAGTTAGAGAGAGAGTTATCTAAATTTTTTCTATGTGTTTTGGCTTCTTAATTTTTTGTGTAAACTCCTTGGAGGCAAACATCCTTTCTTATTACCAGAGTACCTTACATTTCTGCATTCAGGACTTGTCACAGAACTTTGGCAGAAGAAATAATCTCTAACATTTTATGAGTACCTTCTGGTGTGTGTGGCACCATATTAGCCTTTTTTATGTGAATCATTTAGCAGTCATAAAAGCCCTATGAGATAGGCACTATTTTTCATCTCCATTTATAGATGAGGAAACGGAGGCACCGAACAGTGAAGTAATTTGTCCTCAGTCATACCATTCATAAGCTGAGGAGGCAGAATTTGGCTCTAGAATCTAGGATCTCAAATACTGTGATATACTTTTTCTCAAATACTGTGCTATCATCTGCTGTCTGATGGTTGGTTTAAAGTTTATGCACAGAAATTTATTTATTATTTTTAGCTATAGTCTCAGGAAATAGAAAAGAAACTGGTCTATTAGGAGAGCCAACTACAGGTTTCCCAGCATTTATATTGCCACTTTTGTGGTGGGAAGAGTCCAGAAAGGTGACGTTTGGGTTGGTCTGTTTAACCAGTTTGGGAACTTGTTCTGAGATCTGTTGGAAGAAATAGAAAAGGATGCCCCTCAGGTGGTTTGGACTTGTTGGTCCTCTTCCCCCGTATTCCCATTAGCCTCGATAGAGAGAGTTGAGTATATTTGATTAGAAGGAGGAGAACAGAAATACAAGATCAGAAAAGAAAATAGAAATTTATAACTACTTATTTAAGCATTTTATGGGAAGAATTCTTTTTAGAAAAATCTTTTTAATATGGTTAACGAAAGGAAGATAATGTTTTTATTTTTTAATACAAGATAATGGAGAAATAGAAGGAAAATGAATTCTTAACGTATTTTCAGAAAAATGACATTTGACAGCCTGGAAAAGGCCTGGACCATTTGATTGTAGGTTTTAATGCCTGGTGTGGCCAGCCAGCCACTGAATTGGATGGTTGGCCTCTGGGAATTCTGGAGAGGAGTCCTGCTTCCCTGGAATGAACATGACATTTTTCTCTTCCGACAGAATTCAGCTTAGAGAACTATCAACACAGGACAATGCAAGCCCACGAGTTGTTCCGGTATTTTCGAATGCCAGAGCTGGTTGACTTCCGACAATACGTGCGCACCCTCCCAACCAACACACTCATGGGCTTCGGAGCTTTTGCCGCCCTCACCACTTTCTGGTACGCCACGAGACCCAAAGCCCTGAAGCCACCATGTGACCTCTCCATGCAGTCAGTGGAAGTGGCGGTAAGTGGAGGGCTCTGCCTGCCTCTTGAGTTTTCGCCGCATTACCCCAGATCAGTTAAGCAGCACTGACTGTGATATTGATCAAGATCAAAATCACATATTTGTGAGGACACTTTGTAAACAAAAATGTGCTAGACAAACAGAAGTTGATGGTAGTAAATAGAGGTTGAGGCCAAAATATAGGGCACAGGGACAGATGAGGGGTGTTGGTTGTGTGTCTATCCCAAGTTACCCAGACAATCATTCCAGAAGTCCCACTGAGCTGCTACCCTGTCCTAGGCACTGCTGTAGACTCAGAGGATTCCATGGAGGAAAACAGGCAGCACTCAGTCCCTGTTAGTCTAGTGGGGCTGAGAGTTGTCAAACATGTTACAGAAAGAAAGATTTTACTGGTGGTGTGTCTGATACTCAGAACATATCTTCAAGCTGTCTAAGTCAAATAGGGTTCAAGTAACATGGTTGCAGAATTTAGGATAGGATGTGAAGAAGTAACATTCAAAAGGCACCTCTGGTTGAATTGCCAAGTGCCGTGGCTGTGTATGACTTGGGCAAACCAGAGTTCATGCGTTCATACTTATGAAAATTAAATCAGAATGAAGGTAATTAGGACTTCATGGGTGGGATGGCAGAGAGGAACCTTAGGATCCTTTCAGGAAGTTGCTTTCTTTTTTGTGTGTGTTGGAGTCTCACTCCGTTGCCCAGACTGGAGTGCAGTGGCCACTCCTGGTCACCGCAGCCTTGACCTGCTGGGTTCCAGCGATCCTTCCACCTCAGCCTTCTAAGTAGCTGGAACTACAGGCGCGTGCTACCACACCTGGCTAATTTTTTGGTTTACTGTAGAGATGAGGTCTCGCCAAGTTGCCCGGACGGGTCTTGAACCCGCAGGCTCGGGCAATCCACTCACCTCAACCTCCCAAAGTGCTGGGATTACAGGCTGAGCCGCCGAGCCCGGCTGGAAGTTGCTTTCTTTGTGCCCCTGCTCACCTTTCCTTCCCTTCTTAGTCTCTTTTCAAGGTTGGTGAAAGAGGGGAGGTGCTGAAAAGATGAAGGGGCCAAGTCCTCATGGGTACTTTGAGCCTTCACTTGCTCTCTGCTTGTGCTTTGTGGTCACTCATGTTCCCCCACCTAAGTCAGAATTACTTTTTAGTATTTCCTACTTTCAGCAGATATGCAGAAGAATGTGAAAGACAGAATCCCTCGCTGACTGCCTCTGGGTGTGGCGATGAAAGACCTTCCCACCTTCCTAGGCCACGAGGAGGAGAGGGTGCCTTTTTATATACAGCCCTGGCTGGAGTCAGAGCATTTTGTTCTTTATGGGACTTTAGTTCTTTGTTTTATTCTAAACAAGTTCTCGGATTCATTAATGTGAAACTCTTAAAATATATAAAGGTTCCGTCAGTCTAATTCATGACAAAATATAAATATAGAACGACTAAACTGCTGAGAAAAGTTAGCGTTCTGCTTTATTTCTATGTAGCGGGTCAAGGTACCTCCATATTTCACCTCAGCTAATTCCATATCAACCATGAGTAGGGTTTAACTCTCCCTACTGGGTCTGTGTAAGGTTTTGGCATTCCTTCTCCTCTGGCAGAGGACCTGCTGTATCATGGTGTGTTGCCCTTACTGTGAAGAGTCCTTGCCAAGTACAGTGAAGACTTTGATAATTTTGCAGCAACTGTAAGAAATGTCTAGTTCTTATTATATGAGAAATGGTGGGGGCATGTCACATGTGACTTTTAAGTTCCAGCTTAGTATAAAGTCACTGCACCTTGTTGAAATTATACATTTTCCCTACAGAACAATTTAAAACTATAGATAAGCAGAAAGAAAGTGAAAATCTGTAATTCAACTGCTGAGTATATAGGCTTCCTGATTTTTCTCTTTGCTTATAGAAATAGATTTAGCATTGATTTTCAAAATGTGTAGGTCTTAGGAATAGCTACCAAACTTGCTGTGCCTTTTAAAAAAGAACTTAAAAATTTGAATTTAAAAGTAGCCCTGGAATTATGGTGCGTAGTAATGACAGCTGCTTTGACATAGCGAGCATCATTGTACGAATATCTGTGGCAGGGAAGGAGGAACTTAATTCATTTCATAAAGCATTAGTGAAGAGCCTGTGTCTGGCACTATTGCAGGGGCGGACTGCCAGAGTGAAATATCGTTGCTGTGTTCCTGCTTTAAAAACAAGCAAGCACCGTTTGCCAGTTTCCACCCTCAGCCCCTATCTTACATATGCAATCTTTGTCACCCTCTTCTTCCCATAAACTCTACATGGATATTAAAATGAGAGGAATCTATACTCTTTGGTCTGGCCACTTCTCTTCACAACCCATACTGGCTGTTTCCCAGAGATACTTTAAAAGTAGCAGCACATAGGTGCTCTGTAAGTTGCATCTTTTGAAGTTTCCTTTTAAAAATCAGAGTTGTGGCTGGGTATGGTGGCTCATATCTGTAATCCCAGCACTTTGGGAGACCAGGGCAGGAGGATAGCTTGAGGCTAGGAGGTCGACAGTAGCCTGGGCAACACAGCAAGACCCCATCTCTACCAAAAAAAAACCAATTTTATTTAATTTTTTTAAAAAAGAGGTTGTAAAGAGGAAGTTAGCACTCATGATGTCGACCTGTAATGAAGACCCAAACTAGAGAATGGGACAAAAAAGCTAGGTTAGGAACAGAATCCTAAAAGTACTTCTTAAATGTAGCGCTGATCTGATCAGGGCTGTCTGGAGAATCGTGTCCCTGTGTCCACCATCACTCAAAGACTGGCTTTTTCCTGCTGCTGGAGAAGAATTTCCATCTTCCAAAAGTGTCTCTGCTGCTGCTGCTCCTTGATTTTGATGGAAGCAGGTTTTGTGGGGTTTGTTTTTGTATCACTTTCACAAGGTTTCCAGTTTTAACTTGTCTTAGCCTGTTCACTGAGTTCGAGAGCCCCATGGTCCCCTAGTGAAGATAATCTTCGCTGGGGTGACGAGAAATCTCTTGGCATGCTTGGGCAGACCTTGGTGGTTGCAGTGAAGGGAAGTACCAGGAGGAGAGAGACAGGCAGAGGCAGAACTGGACGAGTTTACCAGGCTCTTCTGACCTTCAGATTCCACATCTGGAAAACAGAAGTGATGGTACCTTCTCTCCTTCAGTGTTGCTAAGAGAACTGCATAGTTTTTCAGTGTTTGCCTGGCCCCAGTAAGTCTTTAGTAGATGTTAGTTTTCTTCCTTCAAGATCTTCTCTTTTAAACCCTCACATTTTATGCATAAGAAAACTTGGTCCAAACAGGTGAAATTATATCATCCAGTTAGTGGAAGATTTAGAACTCTGCTACGCTACTTTCATTATATGAGTTGAAAGTTGTATATTATAGAGGAAGTTTGGATCTGTCCAGGTCACATTGGAGTCAGTGGCGGGTCAGAGCTTCTGAATTCCGGAACAGGCTCTTCTGAAAATGGACATGCAGGCCCAAGAGCCTGCAGGTAGAGATGAAAATGAAAGGAGCAAAAGGAACAGGTAAAGTAAGAAACAGTCTAGATTTTATACCCAGGTTGGATATAGGATCAGAAACTGTCAAGCATTGGGTAGCGTGAGGACTGGCCGGGAGAGTGGGGCACGGAACTGTGAAACCTAAGCAGCTTCAGGACCAGGTCACAGCATAATCGGTACTGATAGGGTTGTAGGCCTACCTGCCAGGTTTGAGAGGTTTGGGCCACAGACCATTATGAATTACAGATGAGGATCATTGTAGTTACTGAAGGAGGTCAGAGACAGCAAATGTGAGGTCCTTTCCTTGCTGAGAGATGTGGCATGGGCATTGACATGGAGTGTTTAATTAGTGCGGAAAGATTTTTGACAGCTGCTGCTAGATTATGCTGCACTTAAACAAAAAAAAATCCATGTTATTTGTTACTTGTTTTTAAGTATTAAAGAAGGGAATAAATTGTAGCAAGTTAAAAGCTTTTTCATACCTGCAAGCCCTTAGCCTTTCTAAGACTTAATTTTAAGAATTTCAGAACTCAGATTAAAATTTCCCTCTAGTGGCTAAACTAGCTAGTCTATCACAGATTCACTATGTGGACTTGTTACCAGATGTCAGTTCTAGCAGGGGTTCATGTCCTTTGATATGCAGAACCAGTTCCTTTGGTATAACTCATCTCGTTTCCAAGTTGGATGACTAAATTCCACACCAGACGATCTCATGGCATTCAGGTCACATGCTGGCTGGTGACCCTTTTGCATGAAAGGGTCCACATGTTGGGATGTATGTGGTTAGTGACCTACCTTTGCATTTTAATCCTGTGCTCCAGAATGTCTGCTATGGAGGATGTGACACTTTTATTTAATCATCTGCAAGTCACAGAGAATAGTAATCAGATACGTGTTCATTCAGCAAGACGTGGCTCCTCCCACATGGTGTGCACATACCAGGGGAGAGCTGGCTGCTGCCCTCCTGCAGCCCAGGCCAGCGGGCATTCAGCTCAGGGCTCCCTCTGTCCTTGGCAGAGGGTGAGAGCCATCCTGAACTAAGAGCAATGCAAGTGACTTGTTTTCATGCTATCACACTAGAACTGTGGATTCCGTCTCAGGAAAGAAGCAAACTAAATGTGGCATTCCCGCCTTTGGAAGCAATGCTCAATCAATAGTGTTGTTTTAAAATTCACAAGTCATGGTCCACAAGAGGCTTTGTCAATGTCATGACTGCTGTCAACCACCCAGACCTCCCAGCCCGTGTGCACACTGTGACAAGGACTGGCATTCTTTGTTCCGTGTAGAAGGTGGGAATGGAGCATGTCACTGAGTGGGATTTTCCCATGTGACTAGTGGTGACCCTCATTTCCACATAACCATACTTCACACATATATGTGTGTCAAGGCCCACCATCAAACGGGGATAAACAGCTTCTGAAGAAGAGAGCGGATTCCTAAGTTGTGGTGAAGACTCATGCCAGACCTGTAAAGTGAGGCAAGCCTGTGGGGGTCATGCCAGTGGAAACACCAAGAATGGTGAGCTGTC